GAGGAGGCGACAGAAGAGTTTGAGTGGGACGAGCCTCCCGGCGAAGGTGCCAATGGCACGCTTGAGCTCGAGGCGATCAACTGGAACGACATTAACGACGAGGTGGACGCGGCGATGAATGAAAGCGACGACAGTGATGAGGAGCGGGGCGACGCGCGGAGCGTGATGTCAGAGGATGACTGGACGGACGACACTAGCAGCATGAAGACGAACAGCGCATCCGCGACGCCGACACGCGGGAGGCGGAAGCGGCTGCGTAGTGTGACGCCGTCTGAGGGCGGGGTGAACGGGGGCGCGGGCGACGTGCCAGGTTCGCCGCTTGCGAAGCGAAAGAAGGTTGCCGCGGACCGGACGGGTGCGTCGAGGCTCAAGGAGGCGGTCACCGCAGACGAGATACGGGGCGAGCGCGCGGGAGCGGCGGTGGGCAAACAGCTCAGCGTGGACGCTAACGATGGTGGTTCCAGTCAGTCGCTGGTATCTGGCTCCGGGCTGGGTACGTCAGGCGAGGTGATGCAACAACAGCCGGACGGGGAAGAGGAGGAGGACGAAGCTGAGGAAGAAGTTGGCGATGAGGATGACGAGGACGACTTTCTTGCGCGCGAACTGGAAGAGGACTGGGGATAGCGACAGTTCTGTATTTTTCGGTTGTGGTGCGTTTGTTAATAGCTTTCGTTTGTATCTGACAGCTTTAGCTTTCGTGTACTTACTGCTCTTACCTCGCTACATTATTCCTTGCCGGATGTCTACTTATTGTACCTTACCAGGACGTTGACAATTGTATTTTGGTTTAGCGAATCAAATGTGTATTTCTGTCGTCCAGATGTTGGCGCTCTTGGGTGTTCAATTTCTGGGTGGATTGGAAAGTTGCGACACTCTCTACTGCTCGCAGTGCGCACACAGTCCTTTCGTTTCGGTGAAACTGTTTGTACAGTATGTACCGCGTATTCTCTGACAATACTCTCTACGCACCATTGTACATGTTCTATATACGCTGTAACGCCTTACAGCGCTTATATTAGTCATCTCCTACATATTGAGTAGTCGTATATGCTGCTCGCCTCTCCGGTGGGCAGGCCCTGCAACTCCGTGTCTTACCAGGCTCGCTCCAAGCCTGTGAAACCGGGCTAGCTTCGTCTTGTAGGGAACATTCGCCAGATTCGAATTAAACAGACTTTTTTCCACTGATAGAACAGATCCGAACGCTCAGATCGTTATTTTTTTTACTAAAGTAGTAGGCCCAATAAGAAAACAATGCAGAATTGCTAGTCTCTCGTGGACAGACAACGATACAACTGACGATGCAAGCATGTAGTTGTATGTACAGAATTGCCAAATGCAGTCGCAGGCGTCGCAGTGTTGACAGGTGTTTTGATTTCTGATGGTCACAACGCCACAAGCCGGTGCACCATATGTGTCTATGTCCGTGTCGCCGTGTAAGTCCGGATAGAAGTGAGAACAAATCATTAAATCCCCAGTCGCCTCCGTGTTCCGCATTGCGCGAGGCGCGCGGCGAAGATGCGCGATGCACGCTGCTCATTACCGGCTGCTCATTACCGACGTAACATCTAACCCGTGGCACTGGAGATGTGAGAACAAAATCAATAGATAGGTCAGACTACAAGCGAGTGCGGGTGAGCAACTAACAAAATAGATGCGGCGCCAGAAAAACAGAGTAAATACGGACTACACGGAGATGCACAGGAACAGAATGCGGAGGACGGGACTGTAGAGATACATAATGCAAGAGAATCGATATACAACGAGGAAGCAAAATGTATCGAGGCATCAGGGCTGTGCCTAAGGCTGGGTGAGTGACTTTGCATACACGGTGTGCCAGTGTGGGACCCACCTCGTAGTTTCCAACATTGAAGCTGGAAGCAAAATCAGTGGGAAGACAGCCGCGGCGTGAGTGTGGCGTACTGGACGTGGTCGCCCTCTCCGAGGGTCAAGCGTACCGGCAGCCGCGGGTCGATGCGCACAGGGGCACTGTTGCCCACGAAAAAGTCGCCGCGGTTGAAGTTGCGCGTGATGGCGGCGGTTTCCTCCTCGGTGAGCACGCGCGCGCGCTTAGCGGGGCGGAACGTCGACGACGACGCGCCGGTGAAGGTGCCGTTGTAGTCGTAATACTGCTGGTGGCTCAGGGTGAGACCACCGCCGGCGCCGCTCTGCTGTGTGACGTACACCGGCGGCGGCGCGAATGCGGGGTTCGGTGCAGTGCCTGTATCTGTGTGGTAAGTTCAAAAGGCCGTGAAATTCATCAGATCGTCGACGGCGACTCGACACGACGTGCCTGTGGTCACAGCCGCCGCGCGGTCATGCTGCTGCTGCTGGTCGGAATCGGGATCGGGATATGCGCAGACGTTGCCGAGGCCGCGTTTAAGACAGTTCTGCGAGGGGTCTGCAAAGCGACGTATATGATGGATTGGAACCTGCCTGGCACGGAAGGACTTCGCTGCATCGCGTCTTGCCGGTGTGACACGCTACGCAGGCGCGGCGAACGGACGGAGCTTTGGCTGTGAAACGATTGGAGCCTCGGACCGAGAACGAAAACGATTAGCGCACGCTTGCGTGGGGTCGTCTCGCTTGGGGACGAACTTGAAGGCGGTACGGGCTGCGGTACCTGCTGGACCTGGTGCGGGGGAATCTGGGCATGCTGGGGGTGCTGCTGATGCTGCTGGTGCTGGGGCAGCTGCTGGAGTTGCTGCGGGTCGGCGATCTGCGGGTCGAGCTCTTCGGTGTGAGCCGACATTTTCGCCGGCGACGGGCGGGACGACGGGCACGAGCGTGACAGCCGGCGAGCATCCAGGTCACATCAGATTGATGGTCACATATCACATCTGATGGACAATCACCGGTAAACCGTGGTCCGGATGTCATATTTCACTTCCACTCAGGCTGCCGCCCGCCACTGCGCCACAGACCATGCCTCTCTCGCCCCCACCGCCACTGTCCGACTTTGACTTCAGTTTCGACTCCTCGCTCTTCCCGAGCCCACCGCCCCTCCCCTCCTCCGCAGACCTCTTTTCTCCAGCCGAGACGACGGATCTTCTTGGATTCCTCGACAACTTTAGCTTCGGCTGGGAGACCGATCAGCAGCAATATGCCTCGCCGCACGCCCCGTACTCGAATCCCCATCTGAATACGGCCCCCGAGCCGTCCACTTCTGGTCGCCCCCGACGGACGACCCGCTCTGCGTCGGCCCGCGCACAGCAGTCCAGGCGCGACTATTCCCCGCGACGCCACAGCGAGACACCGAGCAACGCGTCTGAGTCGTCCTCGCACAACGAGCGGTCCATGTCCAACGGCAGCACCAACTCCGCCTCCGCCATCGCGTCTGCATCTGCCTCTGCGCCCACCTCGCGCAGTGCCAAACCCCTGCTGTCGACCCCGCAGAAGCGTCTGAACCACATCATGTCCGAGCAGAAGCGCCGGAACACCATCCGCGATGGGTACGCGCAGTTGCTATCGATCCTCGCCCCGGCCGGATCTCCTGGTATTGGCATGCCGCAGAGAGGCCGACCAAAGGGGAGTGGCAGCAGGGGCAAGGGCCAGAGCAAGGGGAAGAGCGGGATGCTGTTTCGGGCTGTCGAGTATATCAGGTGGTTGGAAGAAGGGCGCGATGCCTTGAGGACCGAGGTCATGCGCGTCGAGGCTGCAGCAGGCAGTGGCGACGGTGCAAGCAGATGACCATTTCTGTTTCGCCAGCGCTGCACTCGGACGACAAAGATATATCATTATTCCTTGTAATAATTTATGTACCGCCGCATCGATGATAATTTAAGTATGTGCAGTCTTCGTTTTGGGGTGGCGGTGCGCCCCGGATCATTAGCGTCGTGAGCAAACATGCCTCCGACCCCACCGCCAACGCCCGAGTGGCCGCTGCCCAAATTCAACCTCCGCGTCGACGACCTCGCGCACCCCGGTGTCGCCCTCTTCTTCGACAGCGTCGACGCGCACGCCGCCCTCCGCGATGCCGTCCTTGCCAGCTTCAAATGGTTGTACGCGACGCCAGAACATGCACCGACCAAGTACGTACATAATAATTGTGCGACGGTAAACGGCAAGTAGATTCACCCTCTCCCTGTAGCGTACGCTCGATCCTGCTGGTGCTGCGCGCGATGGAAGGCGTCGCGTACACGTCGGGCTCACGTGAAGAGAAGGAGATCCACTTCTCGCTCGCGCACATCGTGAACAGCGCCGCGCGTGCGCGAGATGAGATTCTTGGTGTTCTCACGCACGAGGTCACTTCCTCGCTCCCTCCGCCCGCAGAGAATGCTTGCTGACGTTGGCGTGACTCGGCTACAGGTCGTCCACTGCTACCAGCACAACGCGAACGGCACCGCGCCAGGCGGGCTTATCGAAGGGATTGCGGGTGCGCGACATCCTCCGGCACCTGCTGTCTATTTCGCAGCATGCCTACTTACGCTTACAACGGTAGATTTCGTGCGGCTACGCGCAGGACTCGCGCCGCCACGCTGGCGGCGCGTCGCGAAGCGGCACGATCGCTGGGACGCGGGCTACGAGAAGACTGGGTATTTTCTCGAATGGGTAGAGGCGCTGGCGGGGGCGGGCACTGTGCGCAAGCTCAACGCGGCGCTGGACGGCGTGAACTGGGAGGAGGGCGTGTTTGAAAGGCTAGCGGGCAAGCCGGTGCGCGAGCTGTGGTGCGCGTACAAGGCGGAGCTGCATGGCGGCGAGGAAGGTGAGGAAGAAGACCGCAGCGGGGACAATGAAGATGACGGGTTTACATTAGTGTAAGCATTGGCTCTGAATCACGATAGGATGCATCTGCAATTTATTTTATTTTTCTAGACCGAGCTACCACCCGGTGTACGTTTGAGTTAGAGTTGTTGCTCACCGCGGGAGGCTCTCATGGATGTTTTACTGCATATTTAGGCATATTTATTTGGGCGGATGGGTGACCATGGGTCCAAGGCAATTTTATAAAATCACCCTTCTGTATTCCAGTCAACTTGTCTGCTGTCGGTCTCCGAGCATGCGGTGAGATGGCCGAGCGGTCTAAGGCGCCAGACTAAGGATCAGCTTCCTTTGAAGCACAATTTGCCTTGCGGCAATCTGGTCCGAAAGGGCGTGGGTTCGAATCCCACTCTCATCAGTTTTTGCTTTTTATTTACGTTGATCATTTGCCTCGCCCTCAAAAATTAGCCCTTCGTAGTCACTGTAGTGCTAACAGAGTTTCTTGCACATCCTTTGTTTTTTCCTCGAGAAATTTTTAGGTGCCTCGAGAACGTACGAAAAAGACTACCAACCATTTTCCCGAGAGAGGGAAAAACTGATGAGAGTGGGATTCGAACCCACGCCCTTTCGGACCAGATTGCCGTAAGGCAAGTTGTGCTTCAATGAAGCTGATCCTTAGTCTGGCGCCTTAGACCGCTCGGCCATCTCACCGCATGCTTGAGGTCTGACAGCAGACAACCTGACTGTGATAGAGAAGATGATTTTCAAAACGACGTTGGCCCTTGGTTGGACCCGCCAAATAAATATGATTCTGCAGTAAAACAATCCATGATGAGAGTGGGATTCGAACCCACGCCCTTTCGGACCAGATTGCCATATGGCAAGTTGTGCTTCGAAGGAAGCTGATCCTTAGTCTGGCGCCTTAGACCGCTCGGCCATCTCACCGGATGCTGGAACACTGACAGCAGACATGCTGACTGTGACACAGTTGGATCGCTGATTAAATCCGAATGCTTGTGTGTATACTGAGATTAAAATGCGTCTCATTCGTCAACATCATCAAGTTCCTCCCCGAACATAATCTTAAGGTTCTCAATGCTCTCAGGGTTTGTGCGAGCACCCCCTTCGCCGCTCCCCCGGAAAGCCTCTTTGACGATGGCGGTCTTTCTTTTCTGAATACGAAGGATGCGTCCCTCAATCGTGTTCGACACCTGGGGAAGAATATAAGATGCGACAACGGATGACTTTCTGGGACCTTACGATAAAGTGCTTCACGTAAACGGTCTTTTCCTGGCCAATGCGGTGGACCCGGTCGATAGCTGTAGGTCGCCTTCAGCATGGACAAAGAGATGCAAGACAAGGACTTGCCCTGGTTCTCAGTTGCAGCGTTCCACCAACAATCCATCTTTTTTCATTCGTCAAAATCTGGAAAACACGTCGAGAAAGCCACGCACCATGAATACGTGATTAGCGGCCGTCAACTACAGCGCGCTTGAATTCGAAATAGGAAAAAAGCAAAACAGTCAGCTCACGTTCAACCCAACTCCGCCTGCCTTCAAGCTCACGACAAGAACCTTCGGTTTCCGAGTCGGGACTTTGAACTGCTCGATAGCTGCCCCGCGGCTCTTAACATCCATCGAGCCATCGAACCGATAGTGTTCGAAATGTTCTCGCTTCAGCACGACCTGTATAAGATCCATAAAGGATGTGAACTGGGAGAACACGACAGCCCGGAAACAAGGATCCTGCTCGCGTAACTTCCCTGAATAAACATCAGGCAATCGCCTGTCTCCCTTATATGCTCACGTACGTAGACCTTGGATTAGAGCGTCGAGCTTCGTTGAGGAGCGGAAGTCATTCTTCCTTAGAATCACGCTAGGCTGTGGGTCCTGAGAGCTCGTCGGAGGCCGGAAAACCTCAATGAGTTCCGTTTCCTGACATGTCAAAAATTAGAAAAGCCTAGCCAGGTAGCCCGGTTCCGGCGAACCTTGATGGGCCCTCGGGAACAAGTTGGACAATTGAGCTCTCTTCCCTGTTCCGCAGCAGTCGCACAAAGCGTGACAATGCAGTCCTTACAACTGTGTGGCGGAAGAATACTCAATTCAGTTATGAACCGTTTGCATACATTTAACTCACCAGCGATGCATGCACTCGGGGATAATCATAGGAGATTGCATGACGTCCATGCATACGGGGCACTCGGGATCTGCTTCATCGACCTCGAGATTTTGAAGCGCGTTTTGCGCGAATACATTGGCGCTGCCTTCGCCGCTCTGCTCGTCGTTTGCAAAACGCTTGATGAGCTCATTCACGTCGATGGTCTCGTCGCCTTGGCTTGCAAGTGACTGTTCGTTAGTAGAAGAGAGCACTAGGTTCGGATGCAGCACGGCGCGCCGCAATCTAGCAAATCTTGGGATTAGCGATTATCGCAAAAAAAAAGGATAGGCGACGCACCGCATGAGCATCGCCAAGATGTGAGTATAGTTCTTCCCGACGAGGCCTTTCGCATCCAATCGCAGGAAGTCTCGTTTAGCAGAGTTAAACAAGCTATTGTAGATCTTTCTCTCCAAGTTCGAAAATTCGAGATACTCTACGATAACCTGTTACAAGAAGTCAATCCTGGCTGTATTTTAGATGATCACCATCACTTACTTCTTTCTGGGGTAGTTCGACTATTCGTTTACCGTCCGCGTCCAGCATAGTTTTCTCTCGCCTCAGTAGAATCGACTCGAGAATGATCTGAACTATCTCTATAGCCTTGGTATCTCGGGCCAGAAAGGGCAGTGTAATGAATCTGAAATACGAATAAAGATCGTAGATGAAGGACATTTGCGAGGGACTTACGAGCGGAAGAATGAAAAGTCGGCCCATGGCCTGAAATCGAGAAATTTCCTAGTCTTAAAGTCAGAAAGTTTGGAGTCAACAAGAAGCATCACGAACAACAAGGAATATAAATCCTCTAGCTTGTTGACGATTGGTGTCCCTGTCGCGATGTCAGATCCCGGTATTGTCGATTCATAAGCAAACTACCTGTTACAGCCCACCGTCTTCGAGCGTGCAGGGCGTAGACCGCTTTCGCCGTTTTGCTGGTCCGCGACTTGCACGCATGTGCCTCATCAAGCACAACGCGAAGCCATTCAACTGGCATTGTCTTAGGATAATGCGCGTTCCTGAGCAAAGAATGAACGTACTCTCGAACACGGGGGACTTTGACTTTTCGGACTTTGCGTGCTCTGAAGCTAAAACACCGTACGAGGTAATAACCACCTTTATAACGCTGTCTTGGTCATCGTCGTCCTCAAGCGTGTCCTCCAGGTCAAGCCTGTTCTGCCCGTGCCATAGAATAGCCTTGAGGGATCCGGGTTTGCTGCAACGTTTAAGTTCCGCTTCCCATTGAGACAGTAGCGATGTAGGAGCGACAATCAATGTTGCAGACGGGGGTTTGGAGCTTTTGCGACGAGCCACCTTCTTGAATGCATTGCTTAGCTTCATCTGACGTTGCTTCGTCCCAGACGCTAGGTCTTCTACTGAACGTTCGGTATCAGGTGCGCAGTTAGCATGAATGAGGGCAGCTAGTTCAATCGTCTTGCCCATCCCCATCTCTATAATAGCGAGGAAATGATTTTCAAGACGAGTTGGGAGATACAAAAACTTTACCGTCACTTGCAAAAAAATCAGGAGAATGGAATAGACATTGATGGAAGGACGAACGCAAGAATTCCGCCTTTCCCTTTTCTTTCTGCCCTGGGAAACTCCAAGCTCAGCTCGCCTGAGTATGGATTGAAATAAAAGGGGGTTTGTTCAGCGGTCAAATCGATGACTCCGCCGTTATGGGGATGAGGAAACGCATATCTGAAGCGATATGAAGCTTCGCCAGGATAAGTAAGAGCAATGTGAACTGACTGGCTCCACAGGGGATGCATTGAGGTCGCCTCGCGTGCATCCGTTTTCCCTAATTCGATGGAATGCATCCATCTGTTGCATCATTAGAACACAGAAGAACTCGCAAGACAGGACGGACAGCAAGGCTTGTTTCTGGTACCCGCGAAGTGTCAGAGTGAAGGTGTCTGGGGGTTCCATCTCGCCCATGGTGCGATCGCCCTTCTGAGCTTTTCGATAGATCATATCCAGATCATTTTCCGTCAGCTCTTCGTCATCGTCAACCTCAATCTCCTCGCCGTCGCCTACGATCTCCGTTACCTTTTTTCCTTTGCGTTGCGCCATGTTCTTCATTGCTTCGTCGTGTATTTGTTGGTCAGACTTGCGCTCCGCGAAGTTGACACCAGCCTCGGGACGCAGATTGAGGATGTCGAACAGCTTAAGGATGGACGCTTTTCTTTCGCGCAACGTTTGTTCATCCATAGTTTCTGCACCTTCGGAAAGAAGCGCAATGGGCTTTTCGTCGGAGACGGAGTTGGAGGGTTTGAAGGCTGCGGGAAGTATGAAAACGTCCGCCGAAATAATGAGATTTGAGCCCGTGGAAAGCTTCTCTGGACAGTCCAACATTTTCCCCCGGAACTCGACAATATCTGTGAGACTTCAGAGTCTTACACTTACGCTTTTATCGCTGGACATACCCAGATCAAGAAGCCCTGCAACCCAAGATGAGACATCTTGCGAAAGACGCCCGAACTCTTTGACGAGTATGAATGAGACTGCTGCACAGTGTAAAGAATTCAAGCGTACCAAAACCTCGTGAATTGTAAAGTCGGACGATGTTGTCCGTCTTCTTATTCTTAAATGAAGATGTCTTGGGAGGTTGTTTGAGCATAGCGGCGAGCGTCAATTGTTTCTTGCCATCTCCCGTTTTCTTGTTCTTCATCGCAGTCTTGCTATCTCCAGCGTTCCTTCGATTATGCTGGGACTCTCGCATAATTTTGACTTCCTCGTCGACCTTGATATAGCCCTTTCCAGAAACGTTGCTCCACGCATGGCCAAATACTACTTCACCCAAGTAGGTTGGTGGAATTTCTGGCGACACCGGAGAAGAAATGCGGCGTTTTTTTGCTGGGGGAGGCTGGAGAGCTTCGCCATATGCCTCGTCTTTGGGGGCCGTTCCACCTGAAGAAGCTGTCTTGTTCTCCGCCCTAGGTGGAGGTCGGTGCGGCGCCACTGGCGCGGTCTGCATCTCGGCATCATCGTCATCCACGTATATGGCCCGTTTATTAGGAGTAGTGACTTTCGCTGCATTTTGTTCATCATCACTGCCATCTTCGGAGAATAAATGCGAAGAAGCTCTTGACGAAGCTCTCTCCGAGCTGGAGGGACCCACGACAGGCTCCATAAGCACGTCTTCGTCCTCGTCTTCTGATTCTGTGCCGGCAAAAAATAATGGCGGGCGTTCCTTGGAAGACATTTCAGAGTCCGACATGACAGGCCAGGTTGAAGCTACGCGTCTGGCTGAAAGTAAAATTTTGACTCGACGACTTTGAAGTCGCGAAATCGCGTGACGTCACGTCACACACGCGCGTACACCAGAGGGTTGTGCCAATCAACGGTAAACTAGACTTTTCCACTTCACTTCAAAATGCAGCGCCCGCTTCCGATGGTAGGAAACCCGTATCACTGACGAACAGTTACTCAAGTTTCTCTTACAGCAGCCTACCGTGATTCTCCTCAAGGAGGGAACGGACTCGTCGCAGGGAAATCCTCAACTTCTGTCCAATATCTCGGCATGTCTTGCGGTCGCGGAAACGCTCGCCAGCACCCTC